GCGTAAAAACGTTAATAAAGTAACAAAAAATATCTATTAAATCTATAAAGTAACAAATACATATTAATTATTACTCAAATTATTATTTCAGTCGTTCTTAATGTATCAAGCATCTATACGCAAAGAAAAGCCAAAAACTATAGTTTTTATCATTAAATGAAGATATAGCCTGAAGATGCTTTGCGGGCTTTACGGCATAACCAGGTTTCATTCGCCCGGGCCTCTGGGCAGTTGCCCCTTTGGTTAATTCTACATACATTTGAACATTTGAAAGAAAAATGAATGACAGATACATTTAAACACATCATAAATGAAAAAGCTTGTGTACCGAATTTCATTGTTATTTTTATGCATAAATTGTATATCTAATAATGAAATAAGTAAATAAGACTGGAACTATCCTTTGCTATTCCTCTGAGGTTTCAGGCAGATTTACTTATTCAGGCCCATCAACAGGGGGGAATGAGGAGAATGTAAATTTAATTGCATCTCAGAAAATAAAGAATGTTGGAGGTTCCTGCTTTTTAATTCTGGCCTTTCACTTATCTACAGTTGGGGTATCTAATTGGTGGACATTCTGAAACCCATATAAAGGAAGAAAGAAAATCTAAAATGGAGAATTCAGAGCAGAGAATCATAACGGAACACATAGAATTGAGAATTTATTTAAAATTTCTTTTTTAAATTAAATAATCAAAGCTTATAAAGATTAGAATTTGAGTTATAACCTACATTGTGATGCCAAGTTTATTGATGTACATTAATAATAAAGTTGTTTAATTAAATTTTGAATAATTTTGCTCACTTTAATCCCCACCTGTGCACATAGAGTTACATTTCTTTCTATGTTTATTTGTGCATTTCTTAAGTTTTTCACACTTTCCTAGTCATAATTATCATCACAGTTTCAAAAACATTCAGCTACAGTTGATGATATAAGTGTTTACCCATATTTCATGTTATACTGGTGTTCTTTCAATCTTGTTTTCATTTCCTTCTTGTTTTACCTATATACATTTTACCACTACAGTTAATTGGATAAATTCTATCTTGTCTTCAGTCTTTTTTTTAATCTTTAAGTGTTTACAAATGATTCACAATTTTTTGAAGAATGAAAGCTACTTTATAACCCTTCCTTTAATTGGAATGCTTTAGGAAAGGAAATTTATTTGTTTATTTATTTGTTACTGATTTTGCGCAAAGCTATCTGCACTAGCCGTCCCTAATTTAGCAGTATAAGGCTAGAGGGAAGGCAACTAGTCATCACCACCCACCGCCAACTCTTGGGCTACTCTTTTACCAACGAATAGTGGGATTGACCATCACATTATAATGCCCCCACGGCTGAAAGGGCGAGCATGTTTGGTGTGACGGGGATTCGAACTCGCAGATTGTGAGTCGAGCTCCCTAACCACCTGGCCATGCTGGGCCAAAGAAAGGAAAAGAAATTAAAAGAAACAAATTTGCATACAATTGAACATATTTTGAGATGATTTTAGTGGAGTTAATTCTAAGTATCTCATTTTATGGAAAGTTCTGTCAACAACTTTAGAGACATGATCTCTATTCACTGCTTCCTGCTTTTAAGTAATTTTTTTCCTTGTATATATCTATGATATCACAAAATATATTAATTACATGCCAACCATATTTGTAAAACATGCTTAGTTTTTTTATTGGAATTATAATGTGATAGCTTACTGGCATAAAGGTGTATATAATAATTTGAATTGGAACTTACTGTCATTTTTTTAAAGACGATGTCTAAAGAAGGTTAATTTGTGTTTATTGGACTCCAAAAGAAAATATAATTCCTTCTTAATTATCAATTATGTAGTTTAAAACTTAAGGATTTCATCGCTGTGTTGCCACACCATGAAGTTTTCTTTTACATATATCTTTTACGTCCTGCAGGATATAGAATATATTCTGATGTCACAAATATAAACAACAAAACAATGTATTTAAACACTATAAAGTATGTGTACAAATCAGTCCAAAAATAAAGTCATATAATCAGTTTTTTATCATTCTGTATATAATCTGTATATAGTGTTTCTCCATATCTGTTCTGAGGCCGAGTGGAGATGGATATTGAGTTAGGTTAGGACCCACAAAGACTGTGCTTACATTGATAGGTCTGCAGTCACAAAAACTTTTGCACATTGAACTATGACAGAATACATGTACCTTTTTGTTATGTAATGGTTACGGTCCACTTAAAAAAGGAGTTAACATAGCAGTCATTTTCATTTGATACATGTGATCACACATGCACAAATTTAGTTATGTGTACTATTTTTCACGTGCCTGAAAGGCCATATTCAGTTGCATATCACATTACAATTTGAAATACTCCTGAGGAAAGCAGAAACGTGTTATCTACAAAATTTCTCTGAGCACCACAGTAATATATTGTTAATTCATTGTGATCATTTGTGAAGCAAACAGAAAAGATGGCATCCAAAAACAATAAAATTGAATTGAAAATGTTTCAAGGTTATGGTAAATTGGAGATTATTAGATACAAAATCCTAGGAGGAGGAGGAAAAACATATATGATGATCCTAGTGAGGATCTTGTAGAAAATGAAAAAAGAAATTAAAGTTAAAATTAAACTTTTGAACATAATAGTGTGTGTGTGGTTTCTTCATTTTTTACAGTTTAGATAAAATCGGTAACTCTGCTAACATAACACAAAAATTTGTGATGTTAAAAAAAGAGTAAATGTTTTCATGCTATCTCCTTGTCATAATGCATCATTTTAAGCATCTGTGCTATTCATATGCACAAATAAATTTGCTTGTATAAATCACTGCACATTTGTTTTGTTTTTTTTCACAAAAAGACCTACCTTAATATAATCAAAATTTTGTATTGTTTCAAACATATAGTCCATTATATTTCTTATTGTTCTTAGAGTAATATGTTTCTAAATCTAGAACATACTACAGATGTTCATAATTATTTCAGTATCCAGTTGAATCCAGAATTGAACAATGTTGTACAGAAATTTGCTGAACATTATCATGATGCATGGGCAAATCGGAAGGTGAGTTCCCATTGTCTCAGCCAGGTTTCAGTAGATATGTCAAAGTGTTTCTCACTGGCAGTTTTTGATTAATCTTAATTTCATTGTACTCTTCATGCTTTTGAAATTACTTATTTACTCATGCTTACTTGTCAATGGTACATTTCTATAGCCAACAGAAAAGGTCTTTTTGTGAAATATGTGATTATGACATCTTTATGTTAATTTATTTAGGTACAAAGATTTTATTAACTGAAGACAAAGTCAATCCTCTTGTAAGTAATGAAACACAATTTCTCTGTTTAAGAATTTCTATCCTATTAGAAAAAAAATCACAATAAATGCATAGTTAATTTTTATTTTCTGTTTCTAGGAGTATGACCCTGAACTTTTTAATAAATCCCTACCTTGTTTGACTGCAATTGCATGTGCTTTGCCTCCTGATTATTCTCTCAAACCTGGGGTGGAAGATGAGTGGTGTAAACGTAGTAGTCCATCAGATGGACCATACATCCCTGAGCCTGTCAATACATCAAAGTAAGTATTGAATTTAGACAAGTGTGATGGCTGGAGGTGAAGGATGAATGATGTATACAAAGTGATTCATTAAGTGATGTACATCTTTGAACCAAACAACACAATAAAGTAAGTCTTTTTTAGATAATTCTGAAATCTGAGTAATGTAAACACAGTGATAAGTAGTTTTACAGTTTCTTTTCAGACACGTTGTGTTACTGTATTAAAGGTGAAAAATAAAAACATCATTTATTTCACACAATGAAAAGTAAATTTTTATTAATTGTTTCAATCGACTAGTTTCAGTAAACAATTACCACCATCAGAGCTTATTAATACAGTGCTAGCTTAGCCTATATTAAACTCCAGTCATTAATGGGTAAGCTAATTTTTAAAAACAAGGTTGGGAGACAAAGAGATAGTGTAGTTAAATAGTAAATACTTAAGACAAATGGCTATTCCAGCAGTACACGTTTATTGGTCCATCTTCTTTATGTAGACACATAGATTTGTTTTTAAGTATGCAAGTACTTTCTATTAACTCTATATGCACTTAACATATCCTCACAAAATTGGACAAGCTTTTAGCAAATGTGTTGTACAGAAAAATCAGAATTTTCAATAAAATATTTCTATTAACTCTTTGTTTCTGAGTTTACTTTAGTCAATCTGACTCAGACTCTGACTAATCTGTGTGCAAGGTGAGTTTAATTTTTTCATCTTACAAACTTCATATATCATTTACATAACCTCTAGAATGTCGTAATTGAATATCAAAATGTAATTTCAATAAAACTTTATATTTTATCTGTTATTTTCTCTGCCCTAACACCATATGGGCTATGTCCATTTGGCACACCTTGTAACCACCACAAAAAGCATGAAATAAATCTAAATAACCCTTTTTCTTCTTTCTAGCATAAATGTAGATTGAGACAGAAAATTACAATTATTTATTCTAAACAGTCCCAGGCTTGTAACAGTTCACATCTGCTTTGATTGAATTTAATTGTTTTATCACTCTTTGAAGGCTTCTAACTACTGGGAATAGCAGTAAATCACCTCGTGGGAGTACAAAGAGTGTAGGAAGAACAAAATTTCAGGCTACATCACAAGATATCTAGTTACATATGTTCCTCGTATATTCCTTGAAGTGAAACAATTTTTCATTTAAGCTTCTTATGTAACCTGATAAGTTTACAATTTTTACATTTTAGTTACTTTTGTTAAAAATATATATATCAATAAATAAAAATATACATAAAAAAAATAAGAAATTTAGCACTTACTTCAAGATTGAGATCCTTTTGCCCTCTGAAGCCAATCTTCATTAACGCTAAATTTTTCTCACTAAGATGGTTATCCAAAAAATAATGTAGCTTCCACATATTATTTTAAAATTCAAACAGTAAAACAGAATACCCCAAAGCTACTATAAGTTATCTGGCTTTCTAACTAACCTATAAAAAGGTTTAGAAAAAACATATATCTTAATGTGGTATTGCATTTTTTAGTATCAGTTATTTATTTTTATCTTATGAGTAAATAAAATGAAGGGCAGGACTTAAACCTTTTCAAAATTGATAACGTATTATGATCATAAACATTTTTAATGTTAGATTGTTATGATGACTATTATTCATTAATGAATCGGTAATTTTCCTTGAAATATCTCTCCTATACATATTTTTTTAAGCTTACATTTCCAAATCCTCACCAGGCTAATTCTATCCACTGCTGAAGGAACATGATTTAAATAACTTCATTTTCTTCCTTGCTTCACACTTGATTAACATAGTTAGTTGAAGTCTTGCTTTTCTTTGTGTATTGACTGTCAGATAAGATCACCTGGTCAAGTTGCAGTTATTTTTAGTATTTTGGAATTAATAATGAGGGTGTGAAAGCAGCAGGAGTGTAAATTGTAACTCAGCAAAGAAAGTTGCTATAAAAAACGATGGATGCAGCTTTTTTCTTCTAACATGAAATCATTCAGGAAGATGATCAAGAGTATTGAAAAGAAAATAGAGGATCAGAAACATAATAGTGCATTAAACTCATTTTTATGTGTGTTAGACCCTGCAGTGTATATTATGAAATATTAAATACATTTAGTTGAAACTTAACTAATGTCAAGTTTAAAATTTAATCACTGGGGAAGCTTTAGTGATAACTGTTTTTATACTTGAGTAAGGAAGTGTATTAAGTTAATATAATAATAGATAGAGAAACCACAATTTATAAGTATAAGGAAGAGTTTAATTGATGGTAGAATGTACTACATGTTTCAACAAAACTTGGGTCTGTATTCTTCAGACATCCTTTAATATAACAAAACACCCTGTAAATTATATAATACCTTATTACAAGTCTACCATCTCAAGTAAAAAACGTTGTTCTGTTATTTTACTCACAACCCAACATTTTTGTAACTTGCCTTGTTTTTATGACTTAATCTAAAATTCTTCTTTTTGGGTTTAATGATCACCCCTAAAGATAGCTTTTGACTGAATCTTTTGATAGAATGATATTTTTTCTTTAAGAGTTAAAGGTAGGTTATTAAGCAATTGATAATGTTAAACATTTTAGATGACTTTATGTCTGCTAAAATATGTGCTTAATTCACATGTTCTAAGTTTTCTTAAAAGCCAACATATACTGTAACTTGGATGCATATATGTGTGTGTGTACCTCTTTTTTTTTCTTTCTGATAGAACATTTCTGTTTATTTGTTTTTACATTAACCTTCTTCGTTTAGCCTGATGGTACAGAAAGTGATATGGCCCTTGCCCTAAATCGGTATATTGGCAATTCTGTACTTCCACTGCTGATCAAGTACTGTCACCTTTTTGCTGATGCAGAAAATTATGCCAGTCTTTTGGATGCTACACTTCACACAGTTTATCGTCTCTCGAAGGTCAAGACACTCACAAAAGGTCAAAGAGAATGTGTATCTGACTTTCTTGTAGCTCTCACACGGTAAGTTATATGTTTTGCTGTGGAATTTGTCTGGAATATTGTTCTTGTAGCTTTCACATGGTAAGTTATAAGTTTTTGCTGGGGAAGTTGTCTGAAACGTTCTTGTAGCTCTCACACGGTAAGTTATATGTTTTTGCTGTGGAAGTTGTCTGGAATATTGTTCTTGTAGCTCTCACATGGTAAGTTATAAGTTTTTGCTGGGGAAGTTGTCTGGAATATTGTTTTTGTAGCTCTCACATGGTAAGTTATAAGTTTTTGCTGGGGAAGTTGTCTGGAATATTGTTCTTGTAGCTCTCACATGGTAAGTTATAAGTTTTTGCTGGGGAAGTTGTCTGGAATATTGTTCTTGTAGCTCTCACATGGTAAGTTATAAGTTTTTGCCATGGAAGTTGTCTGTAACATTGTTCTTGTAGCTCTCACACAGTAAATTATAAGTTTTTGCAGTAGAAATTGTCTGAAACATTGTTTTTGTAGCTCTCACATTGTAAGTTATAAGTTTTTGCTATTTAAATTGTCTGGAACATTGTTCATGTAGCTCTCACATTGTAAGTTTTGAATTTTTACTGTGTTAGTTGTCTGGAACATTGTTCTTGTAGCTGTCACCCAATACCTAATAAAATCTGGTTTTGGAAATATAATTGTAGCACTTGTGGAAGTTTTTTTTATGACAATTGTTTCTTGCTTCTGAGATTTCTATTAGCCTGCATTATATTACAAAAGAAAGCTCTCTATCTTTTTTTAAAACTTATTTTAGAAAAATATATTAGATAGAACAGACATAATAAAAGTGTGCTAATTTAATGAACAGAAGCTTTCACAGAAATATTTTGTAATATTTTTCATTCAGATGTTTTTTCTCTTTAGCCTTAATCAAACTATACAAATGTTTTCATCACTTATCATCTAAGGAGTTGCATTTTAATAGTTTTCTCTATGTGTAGTAATTATATATTTTTATACAACCAGTTAGAATCTTGACTTTCATTTTTAAGGAAGTCAGAGGTTACGATTGAGAACTTAAGAAAAAAGTGAGAAAACTTGTGTTTACCTTCTTAAGTCCAGAAATTATCATTGAGAACTAAATATGAGAATTATATTGTGGTAATATTCATGGGTTGCTGTTTAATTGTATAATAATTTCTCTGCAGACAATAATTATATTTAAATGTCTGTAATAATATATATGTTATGAAATCAAGATGCTAAACAGAGGTTTGATTAAGAAAACATAATATTTCATACATTTATGAAATGGAATCAAAATGTTATTGAAATTTTGAAAGAGATAATGCATTTTAATGAGAAATCTTGCTTGTAAATTCTCTCTAATAAAATAGTATTTATCGTTTTTAAGAGCTAGTGATAGTTTTACTTGTTTTGTGTATCCCGTTAGATACATTCATTTACAGTATTTTTTCTAAAATAAAAGTCTGGCATTTTTATTTTAAGACAGAAGTGTGTGTTTACAATCAAGTGGCAGATAATGAATACATTTTTTTTCAAAGGGAAATGCAACCTGCCATGCTTCTGAAGCTGCTGAGGAAACTCACTGTAGATGTATCTGTTTTGACAGAATACACAGCTGTGGCACTGAGGGTGAGTTTAACTATTGTTGTGTTTGACTTAAGATTACTAAATTATTAATGATTTGAATGATAAGTGTCTGTTTTGGGCATTAAGTTTGTTACAAATTATCACACTTTTCATTCAAGCGTTGAACACTTTTAAAAACTTGATTAAAGATACACATTGCACAAAGTGAATGCAACATTAGATTGTGAAATACAAAATATTCTAATGCAAATAAGCCTGCTTTTCAAACTTTATGTCATGTTTCCATATTGGGGATTTTAGCATAGTTGAAGTATTCTTTACATTAACTTTTATAGCTTTTTTTCTTTGGGATACTTTTTAAATACTTTAAATGTGTATATAATAGCAAACTAGGATTTTATTATTTTGTAATAGGTGACTGTTTTATTTATCATTTCAGTTGCTTACATATCTTCTGAACCTGAGTCACTTTTAGCTTCTGCAGTTTTTTATTTTAGCATCCATTTCATATAATCATAGTTTTCTTATATTTTTCTCTTCTACTTTTATCAGTTAATATAAAACATACAATATCTATATGGATTAAGATATAGTTGAATGAAATGTCTGTTTTGTGAGATACCTTAAGATGTAATGTATATTTATCTTTACTGTAATGCTTCTACTAGAATTATTAGTCAACAGAAAGATTTGTCATTTTTTATTGACGATTTTCCATATTAAAATAAAATATATGACATTTGAAACTGTTTTACTGAAAGTACTGTAAACCTTTTTCATGCCTATCTCTGTGTTTGCAGTATAGGATGGAGGTAAGGCTAAAAAACTACATCATTAAATGTTTGTAACCTTTTTGAATGATGAATAATTGTTTGTGTAAGTAAAATATTTTTTCTCCATGATTGAAATACTTCTGTGGAGATTTTACTGAAATTGATAGATTTAAATAAATCATTAGTATTATCTTGTATTATTGTAAAAATATACATATATATGTTTTGAAAACACCAATCCTAATTTGAATATAGGGTGGTAGACAACATATATACTTCTGTTCATTTGTATTTGATTATTGCTGTGTTGATGCTAAATAAATCATTAAATTTCTCTTTAGCTGCTGACCTTACATTATGAAAGATGCAGCAAATACTATGGTGCTGCAGGAGGAGGATATGACTCAGCCTCTGAGGAGGAAAGGCGACTCACTATGCTCCTCTTCACTAACATCTTTGATTCCTTGGCAAAGATGGTAATTTTTCATCAGACAGGTTTTGTTTATTTCATTTGGATTAATGATAAAAGTTTTAAGAAATTAAAAACACAAACAATCAATACTGAAACTGATAGATTTGCTATAATGACATATAAACTGATAACCTGAGTAATTTTATAAACTATATTTTTACTGTCAAAGATTTTAACTGCACACCCAAAGAGCAAGAAACTAAATCTTTGATCTCATTGTTTTTTTAGATGTAATTTGAATGAATGTAGTGAGTTTAAGCAGGGGTGGATATGAATGCTCTTACATTAAATGAACTAATCTGTGGCATTATAATTTTTAAGTTCAATCTTCCTTGAAAAAGTTTTATAAATTAAATTCTGGTAAATTCAGTTATTAATTAGTTTTGAGTAGTTTACTTTATTTATGAGGTTTTTATTATTTATGTAATGCTATGAGGTTAAATGTAATAAAATGTTTATAGAGTTTAAATGAAAAAGATCTGTCAATTACTAGTTTGCTTACCATGTCAGATTGAAGGATTCTCTCATTATCCTTGTAAACATATGAAGGAAGGTTGTAAATTTGCACCAGTCTTATACTTTTGCCAAAGCTTTCATACTATAAAACCATACCCTGGCTCTCCTTGAATGAGGTCTTATATATTTCATAGGGTGGTGCAGAAACATATTTTAAATATAGTGTGGGTTAGGAGTGTACCTTCATTGGATATTTTTATTTGGCATGATTGTTGACATAGGCAGTATAAGGTTTATGGGATATCACATTAGGACTCTTGTCTGTATACATATATTTTTTGCTATTTTCTTCATCTGGTATACATATGTTTTCAACCTGGTCATTTCCCCAGTAGACAGCCTGCCACTGTCTTCAATGCTAAAGAAAATGGCTGGCCAGTTAAGTAAAGAATGGAGAATTTACCCAGTATATTTAAATAAAAATCTTGTTTAGTTGTATATTTGTGTTTTCCTGAATTTTTTCTCTGCCCATATTCATTTTATTTATTCTCTGCAAGATATTTCTTCAATCTGTGTTTTGCAGATACTTGACACTTTTTTGGTGGATATCAGTGTAGTTGAATAACACACAAGCACTGCATTTCTTGTATTCAAATTAACAGAACTTATATTATTTATTACTTTTTAAAAAAATTACATGTAATTGTTAATAAGAAAAGAACATTATATTCTTTTAGCACGACCTTCTCTTCGAGGATCAACACCACTGGATGTTTCTTATTCTTCTTTAATGGAAAACAGTGAACTTGCCCTTGCTTTACGAGAACACCACCTTGAAAAAATTGCTATTTATTTGTCCAGATGTGGCCTTCAGTCCAATCAGGAATTGATAGACAAAGGTTACCCTGATGTTGGATGGGACCCAGTTGAAGGAGAACGTTACCTGGACTTCCTCAGATTTTGTGTTTGGGTTAATGGTAATCTGGAAAAACCTTTTCATTGCAGTGTAAAGATAATATTATTAATGTACTTATAGTCATAGAATATGAAACCTTGAAATTATATGTGTAAAATAATCAAAGATATATATATTGTGATTAAATCCTAACAGCTGGTAAAAGCAAGTGTAATATCTGTTTTCTAAAATGAAGTGTTAAAAATTCCGAAAATGTAATTCTGTTTCAAACTATCAATTTTTTGATATATTTGAAAAACAAAATATGAATGTAAGAAACGCACATAATGTACATACTAAATGAAAAATTGCTTTTTACGTATGTTTTATTTGAAAAGAGTAAAAACTAGCACATTTAATGTGTTTTCTAGGGGAAAGTGTTGAAGAAAATGCCAATTTAGTAATTCGTCTTCTAATCCGTCGACCTGAGTGTTTGGGTCCTGCTCTGAGAGGAGAAGGACCTGGATTGTTAGTTGCCATTAAAGAGTCAATCAAAATGTCTGAAAAAATTCAGGCAGAAAGAACTCAACAAATTGAAAATGGTGAAGTCTCAGGTGAGGAAGATGAAGATTACATTGACATGGGTGCTTCTATCCTAAACTTCTACTGTGCATTAGTTGATTTGCTAGGAAGATGTGCTCCAGAAGCTGCTACAATTGCTCAGGGAAAAAACGACTGTATTAGAGCTCGAGCCATTCTTCGATCACTTGTTCCCATGGAAGACTTGGAAGGTGTACTTAGTCTAAGATTTGCTTTAACAGGTCCAGAATTAAAACCTGATGGTATGTCTTTAGTAACAATACTTATCTTAAAATTAGGCATAATGTAGAATGTTAGTTTAATGAAAATATTTAAAGGTTTTCATGATTATTGAGAATGTTTGCACTAAATTATCAGGTTCTGCCAGTGAATTTAAGAAAATATGATAAAATATTTTGAAGGTATCTTTAATATTAAATGCCATCATATCTTGCGCTCCAGTGGCTCAGTAGTAAGTTTGATGGCTTATAGTACTAAAAATTAGGGTTTGATACCAGCAGTGGGCACATCACAGATAGTCCATTGCTTACCTTTGCAGTCAAAACAAACAAAACCATTTTTCATCATTTACTACTTTATTACAATTTTTATATATTTCATGTACATTTATAAAACCAACTGGTAGACCCCAAATAAGCAATGTAGGCAGAACATCTTACCCCAGACAGCCTTTCCACTAGGAAAGATCATTGCTGGTTAGGGTGACTGACTACTAATTATTTTATTAGTCACCACACAAAACAAAATGGTCTTTGCCTGATGCCTGTTTTTTTCTCAATTCTAAATAAACCAGTAAACATACATGTCTTTATGGAGTAAAATAAATAAATATGGAAATAATTGTAATTAGCCATCTGTACGCAGGCTCAGTCAAATTGACCAACCCTGTATCTGCAAAGCTATAGAGACTAAGGTTTTCTGTAATTCTGAATTTACTATGTTTGACTTCAAGAAATTTGGCAACATAAGAAATCATTTTTTTAATAAACTATTTTTAATGAACCTTTGTCTGTGAATTCAGAAGCCTTTACTGAGTCAGTCTAAGTGGAAGGTGGTTTTCATGCTAAGAATAAAAATACTTGTCATACAGTTTTCACATTTCTTTAACATAATCTCTAGAACCTCTTAAATGAATATCAAAGTTTTTCACATCTGTTTCCTTCTATTTTTATGGTTTTATTGCTTTAATCCCCACAGTTGAAGCCCATTAGCTGTTTCATGTAAAACTAACATAAACACCACATGATTGCTGAGTTTTATGTTTTACTCAAGTTCATTAACTTTTGAACTTTTACACATTTTATTTTTTTTGAAGTTTTCTGTTGTTTTTCAGAATTTGTAGTCCATACTGGAGGGGTTTAGACATTTTTGCAAGAAAGCTAAAAAAGTTTAACTCTCCAGATACTAATAAAAATATTTTTTATTTCAGCTGACATTTTGCCATTGCAGGTTCAGTGGGGCTACTTGTACAAAACATTTTCTGTACTACTAGTTCTGATGAAGCTTAATGGCAAAATATTTGATAAAATATAATTTTTTATTATTATCTGCAGAGTAATGGTCATTGTTTTGTTAACTTTATTACCAAAATTATTGAAGTTTTGTTAGGCTAAGGTGTTTTTTATTATTATCTGGAGAGTAATGGTCATTGTTTTTTAACTTTAGTACCAGAATTATTGAAGTTTTGTTAGGTTAATCTGAGAAATTTCACGTTTGAGATAGTTTTGTTAAAAATATATACATAAATATGAAGATTGCCAGGACTTACTGTTTACTCAAGCTTTTTTGTATTCGAGTAAAAGTTTTAGACATTCTTCCATAAGCCTTATATAGTCTTACAAATTTGGGTGTCAAAGAAAAGAATTCATGTAGGTTTCAAGTATGCATTTTAGAACATAGATAATATATCAATCACTAAAATAGAAAGTCCCAAAAGTACTTTAATTTATCAGGCTTTCTAAATGAACTATAAATAGGCTAAACAAATTCTCTTAGTGTTCATAGCACCAAAATATGATCATGACATATCAAGCAATCCTGTTTATTTACAGTTTACAGCATGAAAACTGAAGAATGACATGTAAGATTTATGTAAAGAAGATTGTGCTCTTTTTATTGGTTATAAACATGTCTATTAGCCATGTGATGTTGATTAGCAACCAGTCTTGAAAGCCAGAGAGAAAGGGGAAGGGCTTCTTTGGTAGCTTTGACAAATTTATGATATGTAAGCAAATTAAGAAGATAGGAGGCTAAAATTTTAGATTCTTGCTTATAATTATGTGAAGTATGTGTTTCTAATTGGTTGAAAACTGCAACACATATTAAACACTAATCACATATTAAAACAATGTCACTTGTCTTTTTATCAATATTAAAAGCTTTTTTTCTGCAATAAAATATCAGGTATTTAATGTTTAATCATAGACTTGATCTAATAGGGATATTTTTTCATTTTGTCATAGGAGAACCAAAAAGTGATCTTCCTTCTAGCCTAGTACCCAACCACAAACAGTCTATTGTATTGTTTCTGGAGAGAGTATATGGCATTGAGAACCAGGAAACTTTCTTCCGTCTGTTGGAAGATGGTCTTCTTCCAGATCTCCGGGCAGCTACCATGTTGGACAGGGTAAATATTTTGTGTACTCTATGTCTCTCTGTACTAGTGTGTTTATGTTTGCTTATATAATAGTGCATGTGTGAGAGAGAGAGAGAGAGAAATATCTGTGTCCAGGACCTCCTCTCATGCATATGTGTACACAGGCCAGTATTTCTTAGAGCAGATCACACTGGCATGTAGGTTTTAACTGTTTTATAGCTTTTGCATTCTGTCTTCAGTAAATGTAGTACAAGAATGTCACCCTTTTATTTCTATAAACACCCATATCCATGCATCAAGCTCCTTTTTAAAACAATTGCAAGATGCTAGACTCGACCCCAAAAGGCTGGAGTTTTGGGAGCTGCCAGAGGTCTCCAGTGAAGTCCAATTGGGATTGGAAGAGTGAAGCCTCCAACGTCTTGGATTATGATAATCTTCTAAAAGCCATAAAAAATATTAAGTATTTTTAAATAAATTTTTAGATAAATGTTTAATTTTTGTAATTTTTGATTAAAATTCAACTGTTAGAAGTGCAACTCTAAAAGTCATGAAGTAAAAAGATTGTTTTATTGATAAAAGTTTACATACTAGATAAAAGATTAATAACTAAATGTGTGCAGTATAGGAATTTAAGGAAAAATTTATTGCACTGAATTACATCATAACATACAGAAATATTCATCAAAAGTGTTTCAGAGAAACAGTGGTTAAAAAATTTTTAAGTTATCAAGTAAGTTTGTTTTTTTGCCTGTAGGACACTTCACATGAGATGGTTGTAGCTTGCTGTCGTTTTCTTTGTTATTACTGTCGATCTGGTCGTCAGAACCAAAAGTCTATGTTTGACCACTTGGATTCCTTATTGGAGAACAGTAACATACTTTTATGTAAGTTAACTATTTTATGTGAAAATATTATCATATTTTAAACATAGCATTTATGCTTTGTAAGTGAAGTTTGCAATTTTCATTAATGAATGTTTATATACGTATATAGGTATATATACATGTTACAAGTAACACTAAGGAAAGTGAACGACTTTTGTGCAGAATATTTTAATACAAGATTTTTGTTAGTACTGGAATCACACCTTCCTGCGGCAAGTTGAAATTTCATAATAATATTATATCTACATACAATTAAAAGGAATACAATGTTAAAATCACTACACGATAAATAGTTATTAATAATGGGACGTACCATAAAAACAAACAAATAAATGGATATCGTATTATACAAGAAAAGCTGATCCAGGTCTAGAAGTAATAAAGTACTGAACAGATGTTTTGTAACTCTGGGTAGTTTAAGACAAAATGGTGCTACAGGAATGTAAATGATTATGTAGGTGTCTAAGTCCCAACCATGTCTTAAGCGTTACTCCTGAAAATGGTGTCATAGAACACCAAAAAGAGTCCCTTTAGGGTAAGTCTCTAACTATTTATTGTATAATGATTTTAAAGTTGTATTCCTATTAATTGTATATATGTACATGTTTTTCACAAGTTTCATCTTACGTAATTTAACATTATATCTTATCGCTGTATTACAATGACAATATAGAAGTAAGAAACACATACATATTTCTGTTTATTTCTCAGTTTTTATTCAGTCTTACATCCTAATCAGAAATCAACATATTTCAGGGATTTAGTAAACAACAAAATATTTTTTCAACATCCTGACTTGATTCGAATATTGCGTGTTCATGAAAATGTTATGGGTGTTATGATGAACACTTTGGGAACCCAGTCTGCTGCACAAGCTGCCTCCTCCAATCCTGCAGCTACATCTCCTACTAGTCCAGGACAGACTCAGGAAGCTCCTGATAAGGTCTGTTAAAATGTTGTTAATTAGAGTAGTTACTATTTCAAGCTGTGTGTGAAAAAAGTGAGCTTTGGCTAATTTAGAATTTGCATTTTTTTATATTATAAATGAAAATTACACTTTATTGATGTGGGAAATTATATATTTATTTTTACTTTTTAGGCATTTTGTACTTAAACTTTTACTTTTGTTGACAAATTTAATTCTGTTTTACATTATCAGTATCTTTTGAGTGTGATGCATATTTTCTACCTTTACATTATTCTGTGTGCTTCAAAGCTTCATCTCTTAACATTTATTTTCTATTTTGTATTTTTGGCATGAAAGGAGAAAGATCCATGTAATATTTTAATGTTTTATTTGTGATGTTTAAAAATTGATTTGCTACTGTCATGTTAAAGCATTTTTGTAGTTTAAATTTTATGTAATTATTGATTTTAATTACTCGTAACCTAGTGAAATCATTTTCACCTGTTTTTCTTAAGATAAAGAGAAGTAACTTTAAGGATTGACTTTTTTCTTTTGTAGATTTTTTTGCATAAACAATGGTTCACACAGGCTATAAAATAATAATTTCAAGACAAACTGCCATTATCAAGAACAGAATTTGAGCTCCACCAAAATTAAATAACTAATGTTTTATTATATTTTATAAAAATCCAGTAACAGGTGTGCAAAAAACAGACATTGAAACAAGCCGTTAAAAAGAATTCAAAATTACCATACATTACCGAACAAAGCATTAACAAATTCTTCATTATTTAGACTCCTAAGATACTTCAACTTTCTCAACTTAAGTTTAATAACAAGTGATAAAGCCTTTTGTCTTCCTCCCAAATACTGTGGTTTGGCCAGAGCTAAAAATTAATCTTTATATAACATATTTCAAATTGCCATTATGACAGTAAGTCAAGTGGTACCTGACTGGCTGCTATACATACATCAAAAACATCATCATACTAAACAAGCCAATACAGAAAAGATTCACACTCATTTCGTTGCACACATTAACAATGTTACATCATATCTCGTGGTTATTCCATGCAATTGTATTCCATTATTGTTAAGCATTTTCTCAGTTTGCTACTGAAATTTCACCTACAAAAACAAAGAACTTTTCAAAGACCTAGAGATCTTGTGGGTCAATAAAACATTTATATTTCAACTTTGTGCTCAGCCTGTAAATTTCTTGTAAAGTAGATATACCCGTATTTAAATAATACTTATTTTTTGTCAAGCATGCTGTCATGTGTTTCAGTCATAATTACATGTAAAATCATGAATTTGATCTTTTAGAACTTTATTCATTTTAGATCTGAAAAAAAACTAATAAAAACACAAAGAAATAAATTAATATTAATAAAATATATCACAATGTTGTATTTACAGTCCTGATTGTCCTTAAAAAACAGAATGCTATATGCAGTTATGGAGCCCAAAATGTCATTCAAATATCTCAGTCTCAAATTATCACCTAATAAACAATAAGCGATAAGCTCCCAGGTTGTCTTTCACTGCAAATATTTGCCTATTTAAAGTATTGGCAGTTAGGTTTATGACATTCATTCTATTATATTGTTACCATTTGGACTTGCATTTCTCTCTTTTTTGTTGATACATTTCAGGCAATAACTGATAAAGGACTTAGATTAGAAAAATTATTACTTTTTCAAAGATGCTGAAGGTGAAACCAGGAAAGTACTGAAACTACATATTTCTTCTGTTAATAATTTTATGACTTCAGATTTCTGCCATATGAGTTTTGAGCTTATTTTATGGCAATATTATCATTCCAACAACAGTCACGTAATACTGCATGGTTAACTGGCAGATAAAGGTGCATAATTCAAAGCTTATACTGATCAAGTGAGATAAATACAATGGTATGGCTTGCCATCAATAAAA